AGACACTTAGGAATCCCCTCCGTCGAAGCAGTTGCGTGAAGCAGGCGTGTAACGAGTCTGTGAGGAACCAGCTCCATGATGCTGTGTGGTATTGAATACTGTAGAGCTTGGTAAACAATCCAGGCTTTTAATTTCCGACTGTTGAGCACACAGCTAATAATAACTGGATTACTGGCTGCAAGGTTTATGTTGAGAATGTGCCCAGGATGTGGCCGTCCGGCTGCCGCACAGCGTGGAAGAATGAACGTCTCGTGCCCATGTTTAACTCGTGATATCCGCAAGCACTGTAGCTTGAAGCAAGCTAGCATCTTTTCAGGAAGACGCATGTCTTCACTTTTGCCAACGGCCACGTGGAATTACAGGGCGTCAAACAGAATGAGATACGGGACGCCTTTTTGACGCAATCTTTGAGTTGCGCTGAAGAACGACCGCGAAGCGTTCAGATCAGTTTTTGATCGTACTTCGATTTCGAAATCGAACTCGAATATTGGAAAAGCTCTACTTTACCCTCTTTTCATGCCGCTCCAGGGCAAGGATTTGGCAGACTGTTACGGGCGGTCCAGCCCACCAATAACAGCTTCTTGGAAGACACCAAGTGAGCCTGACTCAATATATAATCGCATAGCACATTCAAAGGGGGTCTGACTTAGGAAACCTGCGCCCAAGAGGTTTAGAGTCGCAGGCCCCAATGCTCTCTTTCAATGTTGTGTGCTCTGCTTTGTATACGTCTTCGGGAACCGGCGTCCCTTTTCGGTAACGACACGTCTTGTACATCAGCTCATTAAAATTGCAAGAGAATCACCAAGCTCTTCCGCACAAATCTTCTGGACAAATTACAGGATTCGTAGAGCGTACTTATGCGAAACGGGCTTGCCGGGCTCTCGTGACTGAAAACCTGCCGGAACGTTTCAGAAATCGGTGTCTTTGTAAAGGGACCATGTCACTGATCAGATGGTCCTCGACCACGCGCTTCGCACAGCCATGCGCAGGCGGGCCTTGAACAGATCAGTGCGTTTTGATCTGATTGGCAAAGCTTCTGTGGGTGAGGGACCGAATAAGGGCAAAGAAGGCAAAGGTCCTGAACTCGCAGGGTTGTGCAAGCGATCTGCTCACTCATAGCCTGATCCGAGCCCTTTGTAAAACGATTGATGCACCAGAGAAAAGACGAGGTTCGTCGCTATCAATTCTCCTTGCGGAAACGTTTCGCACGAACCTGGCACTCAAAAGCCAAACCAGTGTCCGTTTCGTCAGTCATGAGCAACTGAAAAATACAGATATGCGCAAAATCCTGCGGAGAGGCGGCGGTGATGGTCTTGCTTACGTTTTGGGGGACATGCTCTTCCAGTGATGCTTATAGCGAGTTCTCTTCGGATGCTCGCTCCCCGCTCGCTCAAAGACGCTTCCATGGGTTCTAGCAACCCATGCAAATCTCGTGTTGGTCAGCACGCAATCTAGTATGGTGGAGTGATAAAGCTTTGTTGAGCCGCCTTGGAAACTGCAGCACCCTGCTTTAGACGATGCTGCTGGCCAAATCAAATCTAATCTAACTGAAACGTGAGGTTTCAAAGGTTCTAAGCTTAAAGAACTCAAGCGGAGCTCGGCACATGCACACTTGTCCGTTCCGAGACTCTCGCGGTGGAGGGTGCGACCGGGTTTGCATTACGTCGGCGACCAGTAAGAAGCATCGGCATCATCATCTGGGTTTGGCTGCGGACCCACCAAAGACGAGACTTGAGAATGGCGTACGAAGCATGGGGTCGATCGGGAATGCACGAATGATCGTCAAGGAAGGCTCTTTTTTTGCGTCTATGGCCAGTACCTAAGTATCTTCGTGCAAGCTTCCAAGGCACAGTTCTTAGAAGCATGGCGCTCAGCTGAGCCTCAGTCGGAGGATTCACGAGTTGCGACGAGGCAGACAAAGTACTGGCGCGTTATTTAGATGATCTTTCCGTGGCTGTCGCGTGCTCGATCCCAAATTCAGCGTCCCTGCCGGTAGACTAAAACTTCACATGCCGTTTTACGGGAGTTCCTGGGGACGGTGATGTTGCAGAGCTGGTCACGTACGACGCCAAGATCGACTCCAGCATCCAACTCGGAGCTCCGGCCACTGTGCCTCTATCCGATCAAGCCTTCGAAGGGAATTCTTCCCTCCCCCACAAGATAGTGTGCTTCATTCGTGCTTATACGAGCGGATGATCGGGTGCTGGCTACTTGTTTCGGCTGCGGACTTGTCCAGAGCATGAATGTGGTTGGGCCACACTACCCGCAGACGTTGCGCAGAAGGGCTTAAGGTCGAGCTTGCAAGGACGGCTTGTCAAGGTGCTTGATCAACCTGAAAAGTGGCTTTCAAGACCGGGAGGTAGAACCATCAGAATGGACGGTCCAGATTCTCTTCATCGCAAGGGCTGCGGAGAGCCGTTAACCGCCATAATACAGGAATATTGAGGCGGCTGCTAAATAATTTTGCGCCTTGGGTTTCAAGCTGGCAGTCAATTCAGGGCCCTCAGGTGGGTCCGGTAATTTCTGCCTCCCGTTCACAAAGAGCTTCAAGCTGTAATCTTTCCCGAAAACATTTACCCCAGCCCATCATTGCTGTTGTTTCCACTTTCGAAAAGCCAGTAACAGCGTATTGCGTCCTGAACGTTTTCAGGCGGGGCACCGTTGATCCTTTGGAGAGACCCTCTTACTGGAGGCAAAGAAAATGTGTGAACTTTCTGCTCAACCTTCGCCCGCAGAGGCGCCATGCTTTTACCGAAACGCAAGCTACAGACAATCCTAAGACGAAGCGAAGCGCGCACGCAAGCATATTGTGATCCGCTCGCGAATTTGACAGGCACGCACGCGGCCCAGCCTAGACGAGAGCGCGAGGTAGAGCGGGCCGGGCAGGGCCTCCGAAAGCTTTCTCGTCGGATGAAACAAGAGACCATTGCCCGGCTGACTCGATGCACTTTATTTTCCATCAAGTTTGTCCTGGCTAGTTCGGTCCAGAATACTTTGCGGACGACTCGACTCTTTCAAAACGTTTTGACAATGTCATCCAAACTTACTCGGCCTGTGCATGCGCTGCGCGCCAGCAAAGGAGTCGGCGCGCGCGCAAGCACGCAGTTGCAGCGCGCGTTCGAATCCGCGAGAACGTGCTTGCGAACGCGGGAGCGCGCGCGGAGTCTCAGCGGTTGAAAATGTAGATGATCTTGACGCCAGAGGAGGCCCAAAGGGCGGCTCGATCTTGGATACGTCGAAGCGGGTCGCCTGCAACTCAGGCGGGACGCCGAAACCGACTCAAATCTTAGGCGGTTTCATGCTTGCTTCCGAGTTTAGACGGGTGGCCACGCTCGATCTTACTATCCTTGTAATGCCCACTTAACTAGAGATGATATCGGAATCATGGTAATTCAAGATAAAGGCGATGACAACAAAAGAGCCATGGTTGGGCTTTGCTCGTTTTGCCCAACATGCATTGTCCTTCTGGAAGCCAAGATGGCCACCTGCTCTGGATACAATATGGGACTTTGATACGTCACTTCTCCATCTAAACTTCCGGTAAATCCGAATTCGATGCAAAGTGAGCTTTGCGGCTTGATCGAAGCCTATCGGCCTGTGTCGATCCCAGTCGTTGTTCGAGGCACCGTTCTGAATAGCACAGACATAGAAAGCCTTTCCCCTCATCGAAGTTGACGCTGTGGCAGTGACGAGATGGCCCTAGGCCTCCCTTGCCAATGTCCTGGTAAGGATTGAGCATTTTTGCTCTGTGCTGACGCCATGATGAAGCCGTTATGTCTCCTGTCAGATCTGCAAAGGGATCGATGCTGCAAGCTGATCTGTGAACGGGCAGAGTGCTTGGTAATTAGGGGTCTGCTGGTATTTCGCACCCCGCAGCTCACAATCTGGAGGGTCTGCTCTTTAGTGATTGTTCTGGCTCATGTGGCTGGAACTTCTGACATTCTGAGCGCCGCAAGGCCGGTGCGTCCTGATTTGCATCCACTAAAACGCTTGCGTTTTCTCCGCTCTCTTTTTGGAGATTGAAATAAGGTTCGGCCAATCATTTGAGTGGTCTCTTGATTGTTGTCTGTTCTCTATCGATGGAAAGATTGCAGCATGGTTCAAACGTAGATTGTGCAAGTTCGGACTGATGCGTATTGAATCTGTAGTGTCTTTCAATGTTTCAGTGCGGATCTGCGAGGCAGTACCCGGCAAACCCTCAAACCTTCCGAAATTCTGTGCTTCCCAGGGAAAAGCCTGGGGCACTTCCCATTCCGTCCCCATCAAGTCCCCGGTCTGGGGTCCCCGGCCTGACACAGGGCGCCTTGGCTTCGAACAGGAACGGAACCGGGGCGGAACCACAGCATTTCGCTCCGGAAAGGTGCTAGGCGGACGAACCGGAGCTGGGCCCCGGTTCAAGGCCGGTTCAAAGAGGACAAGAACCGGTTTATGAGGACCGGCTCTCAGAAAATCTGAAAGTCGATTTTGAAGAGAGTAAACAGCATTTGATTGGGGCAAGTTGGTCACCGGCCTTGCGCCGAGTGAGGAACACTGGCATCCCGAAACTTGGAAGCAACAGCGTAATACATGTGTACGATGCGATCGCTACTTGAGGTCCATGTAAGCGTGACAATTTTTGTAGCATAGAAGCATACTTCGCGATAATTCCGTCCCCGCCGCATCCCTACAGCGCCCGGCAGCATGCCGAGCACGTGGCTTGGCGCGCGCAGGCGCGGGACGCTCTGTCCGTCTGGCGTCGGCGGCGGATGCCTACACAAGCCTTTGATGCAGTACCTGTGTATTACAGACGTTTTGGTAATGCACATCCGGACTCATTTCGAAGCCACTCGTGTAAGAGGCAAGAATGTATGGAACAGGCCGGGCTGTCTTCATCGATTACTAGCGCCGCCATGCAACTGTGCATCCATTTCAAGGTACGTTAAGTTACTGTGCCACGGCAAAGTCGACGTGCGCGATAGAATTACTGACGTAGTAGCTGCGCTCAGCTCGATGCACGTATGCACCACGATTGTCAACATTCGGACTGATTCCCTGGCCTTAATTCACGAAGACGCCAAGCAGCGACGGTGATTTCTAATCTGCTAACTAACCGTCCGATACAGATATCCGACTGAGTAAAAGCAGGCAGCATATGATACAAGGAACTGCTATCCTACGTCGTCTCCAAGCACAAGAGCGGTGTTAAAATACGAGGTCCTGCACAGGCTCGTGATACAAAGACAGGTTCCATTCGTGTCGAAGACTTCGGTCGACGACGTCTTGGCTTCTTCCTGGATCTACCGCGCTAGCATGGCCGACGTCTGCAACCGCCAGGTACGGGTAAGCTACTCTCACGATAGTCCCGTTGGCTGCAAACAGAGCAGAGAAGTGCTTTAGTTATTCCAACTAAACTTGTGAAACCTTTGACAAGAGGCTTTCAGTTTCACCGGAAGGTTCGTCTTCTAACCGGGCTAATCACTAGATTTGATTTGTGTCTGGTTATTGGAAAGAGAACCGGGCTTAAAGAACCGGGCTTCTCCGAAGGCTGGTCACCGCCCTTGGTTACTGGACCTTCAACCAGTGCACAACAGCCTGGTAAGGGCCAAAACCTCCTATGCTTTCGCAGCCCCAGGTCAAAAGACCCCACAAATCATCCTATGTACCGGTCCCCCCCCTCCCAAATAATCAGACGCTGCAGAAAATCTCAGCAATAAAATCGCGTCCATTAAGATACCAATCTCGACGAGAACTCCTTACTGAAGTGAACTGTTGTTTTTGTCACGAGCGAAGCGCAAGTTGCGCACGTGGCTGCAAAGTTCACACTGACAAATGGTCCGGCAAAGTTCGACGCAGCGCTAGGCATCAGGTCTTTGATGCTTCTGCGATTCTGCTGTATGATGAGCACGTGCCCGAAAGCGCAATCAAGCTCGACAGCTCAAGAAAGAAGGCATCAGAGTGGGAACAGATCACACAATGTATCGAAATCATCTGACAATCCTGGCAGTCGACCCATCTGACCTCCGTCCGTGGTACCCAAATTTTCCATATAGAAAGCAATTGTGGCGGAAAGCTCACCCGCTAGATGTTGATACACGTGATCGTACGGCTCTTTTCGACTCGAAAGCTGAACGCTTATCCACCGCAGTATACTTTCATAAGTGTCTCGGTGATACATTGTGGCGAAAGTGCCACACGTGTGTAGATTTGCATTGTAGCAGCGGGCTGCCGATGCGTCGTATACCCTCGTGTCGACTTCGTCTCGAATCCAGTTCCAAGCATCGAGGGACCATTCTGTTGCCCCGAGCAACAACACGCCACCACTGCAAAAGTGAACGTGAAGGGTCGGCCAAGAATGCAGAAGTTTCTATCGGAAGACGGCCAGAAAGACAGCCAATGGATCTGACTTGCATGCGAATAGGCTCCTGTGAAGATAGACGGAGACGAGATTGTTTGAAACTTTGAAACTTCATGGAGCTTATTGAATAGTACGCGAGGGTTTTGAGCGAGCACTTGAATTCGTCTAGAGAGAACTGGGAGGCGAAAGCGTCCAAAGACGGCGCAGTAAAGCGTTGAACCGAGAACTCCCCGGTTCACCACCTACAAAGAAAGTCAACATTCACGAGTGAATGCCCTTGCCGTCTAGCTGACAACCCTGACATCTACGCAGGACATCGCAAGCATCTAGCGGCACCCTTCATCGACTGGAGACCTTCGTGCTCTCACGAAATTCTCTTTAGGATCGGAGAACCCACCTACTGTTTCCTCGTAGGTAGTTGGAGCACCGCGCGCTCGTTGACAAGAGCTCTTTCAGTTTGTCGCCGAACTGCTTGTGAAGCAGAGCATCGTCCTCGAGTACGAGGACTGCAGGCATCCTCATCTTTTGTGCGTGTAGAAACAGATCTCGCATGGATGCCAGGAGGCCAAGCTCACCGAGCTTTAGCTTTTTGGTACCTGAAGAGGGTTGTGTTTGATGTGTATCAAATTATAAAATCTCGCCGATCCGATTACAGGATATCAAGAAGCTCTGTCTTGAGCTGAGGTCGGAACGGAGAAACTGCCAAGATGTATCAAAAGGGCCTGATCTTTTGGTTGAAAAGCCTTCTAAAGCTCCTGCAACCTGGCTGCGAGCTTGCACGCTCTCTGCAACCGGGACTGGTTCGCCTCATAACCGTCCTTTGAACTTTCTTGTTGTGACCTACATGCCTTCTGTTCTGTCTCCAGTTGCCGGTATTGGTAGCTTCTAAAACGTTGAATAGACTTGCCTCGGGCACATCGGGCGGACTTCAATAAATACCGGTTCCATGCCCGTGTGGCCAGCGTTTTCAGGACATTGGGGGCATTGCCTCAAATCAGATTAAGGTCAGGCACCTTTCAAGCTACCGCATCCCAAAGTCAATCATAGCGTGCGGTCTGCGGATGTCTTTGAGGTTGAAGATCTGCAAAGACAGATGTCGAGCAATCCTCTATAGCTGCTCAATTCAATAGCCAGTGAATCGTGTACACCTTCACAGCAATCATCTCAGGACACAGCGCTTGCAACAATCTAAAAGGTTGTCTTACCGCCCTTCCATATATTCGCCCTCCGGAAGGCCTTGGAGCCATTCACACCGAACCATGGGAACGCAGTCAGACCATACAGCCGGCATATTCGAGCTAGGCCTTCCCACCGCCTCTGCAACATGACAAACGTCAATCAGCAAAATTGGTTATGATGTTCTCTAGTCACTTGCATCAAACTCTCGTTGCTGCTTGTGTAAGTACGGCCAGTTCACTAAGATTCGTCTTTAACATTCCCAGTTACGTCAATGTATGCGCGTTTGGTGAATATCGGTTGTGATGGCTAGCTCGCTGTTTGGGGCCAGACGTCAGCCGTTTTGGGAAGCAGTTTTCAAGCACGAGAAAGTATCAGAGGCACGGAGGCTTTCACGAATTTGCATTGGAGCAGACGTACTTACAACAGACTGTGACAAACATGTTATCCTCCTAGACGGATAATGTAACCGTTGTTCCAACTGGGATCAATTCAGGCAGATCAGTTCCACTTGGGAGCCTTTTCATAAATCAAGTAAAGGGCGAGAGTCTAATTTAAAAGGAGGAATGACAAAGAATCAGCCAACAGGCCAAACTGATATTGTCGCAAGTCAGTGTTTGCAGCAGGACAAGAGTTTCCTAGGGTAACCGACATATTGAGTAGGAATGGATCGATTGTTAGGTTGTGTATAAGATCCAGATTTCAAACTGCTCACGAAGCACCATATAAGAGTGCTTATGATTGGCACTACCAACCAACCGCCCCTGTCCAAATAAGCCGCTCTTGCGGAAAGCTGCATACACTCTGAAACGCACGTTAAGCATTTTTCAAATAACAATTGATGAGAAACATGGCATACTACAAGGACGGGTTCTTATGCACGAAGCTTCTTAAAGAGGACCTGAATTGGGGGGCGGCTTATGGAGATTGGAGCGGGACTCTACCTGTCCTGGCAGCGTTAGGATGAAAACGCTGAGGTTGTCAAGGAACTTCTCCGGTGACACGACGGGGTTTTCAGAAGGGCACTCGCGTAACTCAATTGGAAGTTCTTTCCGGAACCATGGCCCGTATCCGTGTTCCGCCATCCAGCGTTGGGTGGTCAATAGCGGGTTGCTGTAGCACTGGCCACTGCCAGACTTTGCGGAAGAGACTGCTGGGTTCTGAGAACCAAGCGGTGGGTCTATTGTTGATTGCCTATCGGTGACAGGAGCTTCAGCGTCTAGGCGGACTTCCACTCGCGTAAGTGCTTTCCTGTATACTAGATCTTCGAGCTGCTCCGCAAGTAAGGAGCTGGGTTGGACAGAAGGGGCAACGGCTTCCAGGGTGTAAATTTTGTACAGCTTTTGTAGCGCTCCGAGCACTTCAATCGGGAGTCGGCTTTCCGGAAATGCTAAGAACACTGTTCGACCCTCCTTGATCTCAGGCTTGACTGCGGTAAAAACTGTTTGCACCAAAGATTCCAGCACTCCCTCTGAAGAAGACGAGTTAGCAACCGTGCGGTTGACCGCGACTTTCACTGCGTCGTAGTAACCGACTTCTTTTCTGAACGACTCGTACAGCTGATGCAGCTTGTGTGACGCCGTTAGCGAGACCACTTGTTTGTCGATCCTAAGCCCATAAGGAACGCCTTCTAGCAGCTCGACCCCCTGGAAGCAGAAAGCTTGGCAGAACGCTTCGACCGCTTCTCCAAGCGTATGACGGCTCGAGTTGCCAAGAGCGAACCGCCGGACGAGAACGCGGTCGTGCTTCGCCTTTGACGCATCGTTTGTGTCCGCAAAAGCGCCTTGCTCGTTGAATCCAAAGACCTTGGCGGGCCCCCGTAGGAGTCTCGCCCACTCCGCAGAGTCGCTCTCGGTCGCATCAAACCGCGCCCTTGCTTCTTGTATGTCGAAAAGCTGATGAATGGACACGTGTCCACCATTTTCTTCCAGGATCAGGGCCGGAACAACAAGGATACGCTGGAGAACACGCGCTTCGCGCAAGGCACACGTGAGGGCCAGTCTTAGGGCCTTGTATCCGCCACACGATGCGATGCTCTCAACGCCTTCCCAACTCAGGTACCTGCCGCGGACAAGGAGAGGGCGTGAGCACGGGAGACCTAGATATGCCAGTGGTCAGCGAAAGGGGTCTGCTGAGACGAAATTTTCTGGCTGGCCTCCATCACTGCGAATCCAAACATTTTCCCTAAGTCATCAATTATAACGATCAAGAACTTAGCTTGGACTTTCTCGAGGCTGAAGTACCGCTGTGGCAACGTGGCCTTGAATGTCTGGCGCCTTTCGTATCTACCCTCTTTTGAAGCAGCAAATAAGAATCGAATTGCAGCTGCAAACATTGTTAGACAATCAGCACTTCAGATTGCGCACGGCACAGGTCTGCCTCTGATTATACTTCCAAATTGAAAGACGACCAATCAGCTGAAAACTTTCTACGCGCTCTCATTCGGAACAAAGTGCTTGTACCAGGCCTCAAGTCGGCTCTCTCTGACTTGTTAATCTGCGCCAGACGTCCATTTTTGGAACTTCCGTAGTCACCGAAGTGACCAGGCTCATAAGGAGTTTAGAAGGAACGTAACGCCAGAAGTCCTTACCTCCGTTGAGCTTTCGCAGCTTCGACCTGTTTGACTATCGACTGCATGTGGTTTGGCAAAGACCTCAGCCCGCGCACTTTGACCGGGTGCAGAGCGATGGCGTCCAAATGTATTTTCTCCAGCACCGTCGGTAACAGGATCTGCCTGTCCACTTTCCAAGCGCTCTTGAAGCGGGCCTTCATCTCATTTTCTGAGAACGGCTCAGATCTGCAAGCCACGCCAACGTGCTTGGTGATGCAGCGGCCGACTTCGACGTCCGAGTGCCAGCTAGACCACTCGACCGCGCACTGGCTTATGTGCGGTCCCAGTTTTTGGAGCGCCGCTCTATTGAGGACATAGGCAGGTCCGCCGACGCAATATGGTAGAAGCTCCCCATGCCTGGCAGGAAAATGTAAGAATCATCGGGAAAACGTCGAGCTCTACTTTCTTCCAGAAGGCGGCAGCTTTCTGACGGCAACGGCGTGGTTTTGGATCTTCCAACTTCCAATTGAGCAGCTTTGCTGCGACGAATCGTTGATCGTTGCTCCAGTGTTTCCGCATTGCTTTGTAAAACCTAACCGCAACGGGAGGTGGTCTAGTGTCGATCGTTGAAGACAATATAAATCAGCACAAGCCCTTCAATTTTGTCAATGAATCTTGCAGACCGAGCCTCACAAAGTCTGCCGCTGTCAAAAACAACCAACGAGGATCTGAGAGCCAAAAGCAGATCTCGCCCCAGATCCATCAAGAAGGTGCCAAAAACGTGGGATCCAGATTGGTTTGCTAACCCGTGTCTTTGCTTGTCCACTCGCTGCTAGCTGCTTCAAAGGACAAACGCTGAGGCCAATCTTCCATTATAACATCTTCGCTTTTTCGGAAAAAGACGCCTCACTTTCCCTTCTTAACATTCAAAGGTCGACCTTGCGGATCGAATTGCGCTCCGGTTGTTGGCCCGCCAAGGTACAAAGGTCCGGCGGCTCTTTCCGACAGAGCAAAGCCGCGTAAAAAATCCCAAAGACGCTCGAAGTCGACATATGCGTCGTCGTCCAGATGCATAAACCTGCATGCAAAAGGTCAAAGTCTGCCGTTCAATTCCAAGTGCAATGCAAACGGGTTTGCTGCTGCTCGGACGCAACTTGACGGAAAGCTCAGATATTGGCAGGCCGGAGTACAAAGCTGGTGATCAGGTTGTTGAAAAAGAATAACCTGTTGATGCGTTACGTGCTCCTTGCAAGGGGTGCTCACTGCCTGGCTGAGCAATCTGACTTTGACGAGAACGTTGACGTCCAGCAGTGACAGATCAAAGCCTCTTTTGCGGCCGATCTTCAAAAAAAAGAGTGCTGTACGTGGAGCCCTTAAAACCATACGCAAATTAGAGGGAGGGCGCTCACCAGTCATACTCAAGGGCATGATGCTCGTACATGTACCGCCACATCGCAAGATCTTTCAGACGAGGCGGATAGTTGTCCCTGCAAAGTAAAAACTTCTTTACAGGGATTGCAAAATGTACTTATTACAACGGCAACAAAGTCAGAAGCTTGACTGATTTTAACCACACAGCAGAACCTCACCTTGTTTACGTATTGCAAATCATTTCGCAGTCACAAAATGAGTGCGTTCCTCGATCACCGATTAAGCTTGAACGGAAAGAACAATGGAGAAGCATCATCGTGGAATCCGAATAAGCATTTGACTGCCTTGCTCCAGATTGCATGAGATTGCGCGAGACCCTGCTTTTGCTCGTAACCAAACCACCGAAAAATATGGTGACAATGCACTTGCCTAGCTTAAGTTTGATTCCGTTGCCTGAGGCACTATAGAAATGCTGTATTCCACAGTTCGTTACGACGCAGTTCGTTACGAGAAATGGTCACAAGAACGGCTCCGATATCCACTGCTCTCCTTCTTCCCCATCTTGTAGCTCTTGAGAGGGCCACCACCAAGCACAGTCTAACGATTGGATGCTCCTCTGAAACGGCTTGTTGCTTTACGAACACTGTTCCTTCGAAAGACGGCAAAAGCTGGAAACCATTTGTACTTAGTCTGATGATCTGAGCTGCAGTCGCCTCCTACCTTGTCAGACAATTCTATTTTGTCAGCAATCACCATTTGACCGCGCAACGAGACCCAAACGCTGTCGGAAGACAAGAAGAGACTCACTCCACATCAAGCCACACAAGCGGAAGGCCTCCATATTCAGCCGCACGTGCTTCTGCAACCTCCTTTCTGGTGCTGTTGCCAACGAACAGGAACAGTTTGGCCTGGTCACCCAGGCTTGCAAATAGAGGCACAACTCTGGACCGGAGTTGGTGATGACTAGCCTTGGAAAGGACGCCGACAATCAAAGACGGCTTAGAGAACTTAGGCTCCTCCAGCTGCATCGCCTTGACCTTAAGCATCTGCAACAAAGAATACTGCAGTGGTTCAGGATGGACATTCCGTTTTGCTGATGGTCTGGTGGTAGTAAGAAAATTTAGCCCAAGGAGAGACTCACTCCACATCAAGCCAAACAAGCAGAAGGCCTCCATATATGGCTGCACATGCTTTCAGATGCAACCTCCTTGCCGGTGTTGTTGCCAACAAGCAGGATCATTCTGGTCTGGTCATCCAGGCTTGCCAACAGAGGCACAGCTCCGGATCAGACTGTAATGATGACTAACCTTGGAAAGGACGCCACTAATGAAAGACGGCCCCGACAACTTAGGCGCTTCCTGTTGCATCGCTTTGATCCTGCGCACCTGTGACAAAGAATAATGCAAAGTTCAGCTGATCACGGAGATTCCGTTTGGTTGAGGGCCTGGTAAGGAAATTTGACATTGATTGTGTGCTACCAATAGCTATGCTGAACCTTGTAGGCTACCGCATAGCTGATGCAGATCTTGCAGCTGCAAGAGCTTTTTATCCTTCTTGAGGATTTCAAAGTAATAGCACTCAAGCCCTGAGGTGAACAGAAGCTTACATGTCTTGACAGCGATACTGCTGAGCAAAGGCTAATATCTGCTTGTGCATTGTCCCAGAATCTCTGACAGGGTAGCATCTATAAGAGTCAAATCTTGATGGATGACCTTATGCAGCAACTTGCAGAACTCAATCAAAACTGTGCTGGTTTATCAAGGAACGTCTGCCTCGAGACCAGATTGATGCTTGAAAGAAGTTGGTGAAGTGAGTAATTTTGTGTCACGGACATCCAGAGCCATAAAGCTTCCGGTCAGCGAAGCTTCTGATTGCTGAACACAGGCGGTAATCAGTACTCTTCACAGTAAATGGACACCCACCCAGCAAACCCATGAACAAAGTGAGGGCGGATGTGTTGCAAGTATCACCTGCTGATTGAGCAGTTCCGCTGGCGAGCGCAATTGCAGGTAAAGAGCGTTGAAAGCAACTGCTAACTTCTCACGTCCTGCATTCCTGAATGCGAGCCCAGACCAAAATCGATCCTCGAAGCTCCCAAAGGGCACCGTGTGTAGCGCCCCTCTTCTATGCAGCTCTTTCAGCTGAGTGGTCCGTTTTCCATCAATTGAAACAAGGTGCAGCTGCAGCGAGCTAGGAAAGCGCTCGCTCGCGAGCTGCAGGTGGATTGCGATGAAGTCTCCTAAGACGTCTTCACTTTTGAAAATGAGCCTGGACTGCCCTGGAATCTCAAAACTGGAGTTGGTGTTCCAGTCTGAAGTAGCTGAAGAGAGCATCTCCGTTGCTTCTGCCAAGCTTGAGGTCCCATTTGCTAGAATCCAGCTCCAATCAGCAGGTAAAAGGCACCCGCTTTTGACTATCCAGTGCTCCGTGGGATTTTGAATTGAGAACAAAGATTGGCAATCTGGTTGCTGCTTGCTGCTGAATCCGTCTAAGAGGTTGGGTGGTTCATTGCTGAGCTGAGGTCTCGGCTCGGTTCTCAATTGCCACTGTATAAGAGAAAGGGCAACACATGAAGCCAACAACAGAAGGATCATCAAGAGCAACCTAGAGGAAAAGCCCTCCAGGGCGAACGCCCCGGATTTGCGTCTCATGCTTGCATGCCACACCAAGTCTGACAGCATTCATTGGTCAGCGTTGCAAATTTGCTTTTAGGTAGGACTAGGTAGCTCAGATGCTCAGCCTCAGAAGCTCAGCTGTGCAGCTGCAGCTGTGATTTTTGGCGGAGATGAGCTTTCTTTTCCGTGTCAATTCCACTCAGATACAAGAGGGCTGAAATAGGGACATGACCTTGAGTCAGCATTGAGAGCGGATCGACGGCTTCGCAAATCCCAACCTGTGATTGAATGATTGGAGCTCGGCGATGTTGACATCAGCATACCGTAAGTTATCACTGCCATGTGGCAGCATTTAAGAACCAACTATTGCACTGCCGGTGTAGGGAATCAGGCAACGGTTCAACGGTTGATATAAAAGGTCACAGATTTTGGGAAGGTTTCTAGGTATATGCCTTTTTCAGGAGACCTCAAGGCCCCCCCAATGGCGCAGCGCAAAGGTTCATTTCAGTGTAGCTGGCTGGCAGCGTAGCAGAGGCAATGGGGCAGGCGCGCTTTTCCGGCCAACTGCAGCTCGCGCTCCTCCTGGCGTTCTCCTTACTCGTCCTCTTCGAAACCGCCAGCTTTCGCACGCCGGTCTGCCTGGTTGCCAAGTGCGACGTGTCAGATACCAGCCTCGACCAGGACTCCCCAGAAAATGTAGTAGGCAACGAGAACAGCATCAGCGTGTTGACTAGCGATGGGCATCTTTCTGAAGGGTGGTTTGCGGACCTGCAAGATCTGCGGGGGGTTGCGCGGAAGCCTACGGAACTTGGGGGGTGGGCAGAGGCACATGCTGGAACTGGGAATCAGAGCAGTATTGGATCAGGGTTCAAAATCTCGGACGGTGCCCGGTTATGGCTCAAGAGCAGCGTCGCATTTGCAACTCCTCGTGCAATCGAAATCGAGACACTTGGAAACCAGGCAGGGAGTCTGGAGCTGACACTACTCACGCTCGATGGGGGCCACGAGCACTCTGTCCAGGTGAATGCGTCAAACGGTACTGTTGAGGAAGCTGGGTCAGCGGTTTTTGTGGTGGATCTTAGTGGGGCGCAGTTTCTACTCTGGCAGTCGATTGAGGTAGGGAGCACTAGGACCGGCCCGCTTTACCTGAGGAGTGTCCAGATTGACTACCCCAGCTCCAGCGAGCTGCTACAAGAGCAGGTGCGGTGTACTTGCATTCAATTCTATTCTGAGATTGATTGGAAACGCGGGACAGAGGTCACCAGAAGTGCGAGGTGTTTGAATGCTGCCCTGCGCCACAGCCAGCCAGGCTTTTGAACTCAAGGGGGTGGAGTCTGCTTTGAATTGCAAGCTTGAAATGATTGAGTGTGAGTCTCTCCAGAATTGGTGCGACCTTAAGGAAGGGTGAGGACAGACTGATTTGAAAGTGATGGGTGGCCATTTTGTTAAGGAACTCAAGTTTGGTGGTTTGATAAATGAATGAGCTTACAGACTAGCTTGGAGCTGCTGCCGCTTGCAAGGATACTTTTGCAAGGAGAAATTCAGACTTATATATATAGATATCTGTGCATTGAAAAACTTGAGCTGAGCTTAGTCTTTTAAGACTGAAGGCTCAACTCCTGACAGTAGGACTCCAGGCTGACATGTCAACACCCCCTTCGAGCTGGCACAAGAGCAGTGTGTTCATCGATCAATCAAAACCAGATCTAAGAAGAGAAGTGACTAGATTTTGAGGGCGCGTTGCCAGTGGAATAAGAATGAAGTCCTTTCCAACAAGGACGTTCGCGATGCTTGCCATTCTCAAAATTTAACATGAGGAAGTGACATCCGAAGTGGATCCCCGCTTCCACTATCCCCCCACTGAACCGAACTGGAAAAAGCTCGCTCACTTGAATCTGACAACCATCATCACAGGTGGAGCGGATCAGAGCCGCGTCACCCGTTCTTCCCTCGACTCGGACGGCAGAACCCCAGGGCCCCTCGGTTCTCGTTTCCCTCTCGTCACTTGCGGAAGAGAGCCACTTACAAAGGCGACTGGTACCGCTGATCTCGGTCCTCGCCGGAGAAGTGGATCTTCTCGTCTTTGTGGGGAACAACACCGGAGAAGCGGAGGCGGAGGCGCTCGCTCAGAAGTATGGAGGCCTCCCGTTGAAGTGGAGGAATGTGAGGTGGGCCTGACAGTCTTTTAGGAGCTGACGTGGCGGAGTTGGGAGAAAGTGTGTGATGAAGCCCAAACCACGTGTCCCGTATTCTACAGGGAGCTGGGCCTGCCGTTGCGTCTGTTCGTTAGGCGACAGTGATTGCATAAGAGGCCCGAATCGTAACATCTCGTTGACCTGAGGATTGTTGCGGGAAATGGATGAAGTGCTTGCTACGTCCACACGTCGGAGAATACAAAGTCTGGAGTATTCTTCGGGGAGCTTGTTCAGAGTTCCTCTAACTTTCTCAATCTTGAACAGCACCGCAAGCGACAAGGCCGGGATTTACCTCTCGCCAGCCAAGCAATAGGCGCGTTGTAAAGCCTGTTGCAGGAAATCATATTCGACTGACCCGATTATGGAGCTTTGAAGCCTTTCCTTCGTATCCTGAGGTTACATTTCGAGCCACGTGACGTACGAGTCGGAGCGAGGGCACTCACTTGGTGACGTCAGCCGCACTCATTACTTTTTTTTGCCTGCAGTGACGCGTACCCCCCCCGGCTGAAGGAGTTCGACAGCTGGCAGTATGTCTACGAGCACCACGTGGCCGACTATGACTGGTGAGCAGAACGCATTGCTTCCCGGGCTTTTGCCGCTATTGCCACTCCCTTGCTGGTTGAAAGTCTGTGAAATGTCGCTTCGTCTTCTCGAGGCTATTGCCGGGATTTTCTGCCCCAGTCCGGCAGTCGGTCGGTCCGGGAAGGGAAATCGACTGCAGACCTGCGGAGCAAAGAAGCAAGAGAACCGTTCTTTGGTTTTTGTCAACTACACATGTCGCAAGTACCAAGTTCAGGAAGGATTGGACAAGCAGGGAATCAGTAGCTGGCTTGAGGCAAGTTGTAAATTCTCGGCGCTTCTTAGTACCGTTGTGCACTTTATTTGTGAAGCTGGAAACAATCGCGGCTGCTTGCTCGTTCATACAAATTGCGACAATAGTGCGGTGCTCCCTCTGTCATTGATTACCTGAATGTCACGTCCAACCCCTGTCGCGATGTTGCTCCAAGCGTCTTGCAAAGTAGGAAGCTAAAAAAGATGTCACTCAAAAGTGAACTCTCGAAAATTGGTATCATTAGAATCCTCCTTGTCGCTATGGAGGCCAAGGCGAGATGGTTGCTCGGGAAGCCATAGAGCAATTGACCCCCATTTCTCTTCGAACCGCTACTGATTTTTTTTTCGTAGTCCCCGGTAAAGGACAGCCGTTGTCAGAGACGTTGTGATAAAGTGGTATAATCAGTTTGTCCCTAATTTAAAATCGATTTTGGCGCGTTCTCTGCCCAATTGACGGCACGTGCCAAACACCCCGAACTGTGTCACTCAAGGCCGCTCCATTTCAGTTCCCCCTCCTTCCAAGCACAAGCTCGTACAGCGTCGCAAAGCCCCGGAGAATAGTCCCAATCCGCCTCTGTGATTTCAAAGCGCGTCTGATGCTGAAGTTGCCACGTGGCGCTCCCAGGTTCCTCCACATGGACGACGACACGTTCCTGAACGTGGCCAATTTGAGGGCATTTCTCGAGAGCGCATCAGTTAAAGTACAGAACGAGTCCGAGCCCCTATACATCGGCTCGCCGGGCTTCGGAAGACGACCCACTTCAACGGCCGCCCGCTTGACCTGCCCGTTGGAAGGTGGGTCCTTCCGTTTCCGTTCTTCCGGTTCCGGCCGCTTCTGACGGCCGCATTCCGCATCACCTCAAATATAAGCGCCAGGGTCCATTTCAAGTTGCTACGGTTCAAGACTCGTCTCAAAGACGCAAAGAGGAGATCTTTGTGAAAAGTCTACTGTTCGCTTCCTTTTAGACTGCACTCGCACGAGTAGGTTCTGCTCAGAGTCGCACGTACTGTATTCCCCCGCTTGAGAACTTGACTCTATTCTCAAATTCTGCTCTGTGCCTTGGCAATAACGAGCAAGCTCCCCCCCGCTACCAAAGAGGCAAAGCTTGGCAGGAATGGGAAAAGAGCATTTTTTTTCGAGAGCTGTAGTCTGGGTCGAACAGGAAACTCCGCCAGGACATTCCGTCCGGTCAGATCCGTCGAAGGCCAACGGAGCGATCAGCGAATTCTGTATTTCCTCTGCTCTGCCCGAACGGATCGCCGAATAACGCCGCCTCTTGGCACAACTTTAGAGCACTATTTCTCCTAGCCTGGTTCAAACGACAGCCTACGATCCGCAACGTCGTCCGCGGATAAGTGACGTGAGGGTTGTAGCCACGTGGCATTGCGTGGTTGGTCGGGAGGCCCCTTTCTGACTTTCCCTGTCAAGCCCAGCTTCTCTCTCCCCTTAACGAATTCCAAAATTGGGAGATTACGAGCAATAAAGGTCAGCCGGTGATCCTACTTTTTTTTCTCTGCAGCGATGGGCAGATCCTGCCGTATTGCATGGGCGGCCCGGGTTACCTGCTGAACCGCCCGGCGCTGACGCGGCTAGGTCCGCAGTTCGACACGTGTCTCCGAGAGTGGTCCAGCGAGCTGTCGGACACCGAGTTTGGCCGGTGCGTACATAAGCACCTCGGCGTATCATGCGCACTCGGAAATAGCACGACGCAGGAGCTGCGCGGTCATTTCAGACACCTGTATGATAAACCCTTTGCGCGCGCGGCGAATCTGCAGCACTTTGCGCTGCTATCGAAAGCCGTTTCGCTGCACTCGATAAAGTTGGACGACGGGGCGACAATGGCGAACCATATGGAGGTCGTGAAGCGACTTGCAGAAAACGTGCTCTAATGACTGGTTGGCTCGATAACAGTTCGAAAGTTGAGGTCATTGAGGAATTGTAAATGTCGATAGTCCTAGTAACGATCACAAGCTTTGCGCGCGCGAAGAAGAGCAGTAGCAGCCGCCTAGTTCACATACGACACGCATGCTCGTCAGCATAAGTGGCTAGATTTTGTTGGGTTAAGTTTTCACCAAACTTAGCGCAGTAGAGCAGACGGTCATTCTCCGGCCCAGGCCGATTGGGGTGAACAAATAACCATCAATGCATATGCGCAGCAGGGTAGCAATTGTATCATAGTATTGGGATCAGATGTTAGGATAGTATGATCCTTGTAAATCGTAAGCCGTTTTATTAGAGCGGCGCAAGTAAGGACGGGTTGATTTAGCTAAAAAAACCGGAAATTTTCAGAAATTTTTTGTCTGATTTCTAAGCTCGTAGAAGGGCCGGCAAGGAATACCGTTCCGGGTTGTGTTCAAACACAGCCACAAGGATTGCCGACATGATCGCGTGTCCGAGCCCTGTTCTACCTTCGTCAGATTGATTGGACGCTTTTGATTCAAATGCAGTTTTGATCGAGGTAGGTACCGAAGATCACTCGAAATCTCGGCGTTCGTTACCCCGAGGTTTCGGCTTGTCCCTGCTTCTTTTATATATTCCAATGGGAGAACGTATAGTCAGGTCGTGCACTGCCAAATTTCAATCCCCGAATGGACCCGTTATTCATTTGGATTGATGCATGTGTTGCTGATGCTCTCCGAAGCCACAAGTTGGCTGGTGGGATGCTCTTACGCGCGCACAGCGCGGATGAGAATATTCTTGCCCAGGCTGATCACCAGTTGAGCATCTCGTACTTTTTAGCATTGTAACTTTGTCGAAAGCTTCCTTTCTCCAACGGAACAGATGCGAGATTGCGTCGATCGCAGACTAAGAATGAGAGCCATGTGCCAGGAAGCGCCTTCTTTGACTCGTATTGAGCCGCGAGTGTTTGAGGCAAATGCGGGCGGAATCGGTCCGCTTATTTTCAAGCAACCGCAACTTACCGCATCAATCACCTTCGAATGCTGTTTTGAGTTTCATTGGGCGTCCTATATTAGTATGCGTATGCGCGTCCTTTATCAGTATGCGTCAGCAAATGGTTGGATCGGCCAGAGGCTTCGCCGTTGGTCAGTGACAAAATATGCTTTCAGCGTTCTTTAGCTTGTCTGGCTGCAGGAAAAAGCTGAGGCGAATAACCTCCGAGAACTCCGAAGGCCTCTTCGCGACCGGACTTGGAGACGCATGTGTTTCCACGATCGGCAGGCTGTGTATTGATCGGTTACAAAACCTCTCTTCGATGCCTGATATCAATCCGAGCATTCCACCGATATTGATATAGCGCGCGGCGGTAAATCAAGACGTTGCTTCTCTTCTTGTGACTGGCATGGGCACTAGTGATGTTGCTCAGCTGGCCGCAAACGCCATTTAAGCTGGTCCTGCTGACCTTACGTCAATATCGGAGCCCGCTCTGTCTATTCTGCGAAACGAGACTAATCAACAAGATGACGGATTCCATCCAAGATTTGGAAAGTGGACTGTTTTGGGCTTCATAAAGCCCGGAAAGTAACACGTGCATGAGGTTTGGCTGGACCGGGCCGAATACCCACAGTTTTGAGCCGCGTATGAATCAGACGGCAAAGAAGTCGACCAGTGGGCGCGGTTTCTGCCCAAAGTCGGTACGCCAGTCTTGAGCCGAACAGAGCCGTCCAAGATTTGAATCGTGGCGAAGGAAAGTTGATGGCTCACCGCGGTGCGAAGAACGGTGACCCAGAATATAGGAAAGGAGGTGGTGATCTTCTCGGATCATGCTCGGCAAGTCAGGAAGGACGCTGTGCAGAGGACAGGCTGATTGTAACGGGGGCCTGCCCCTGACAGAAACAAACTTTTGAAAGCGAACGACACTCTGATCCCGATTTGATACAAAACCGAGGGGGCTTCGTAAAGGTCCTTTGTATGCACGTCTTTCACGCTGTCGTTCTCACGGCCCCTGCACTTTCGATGCACACTAGCTTTCATTCGAAAAACTGAAGTTGGTATACTGGCAGGTCTTGCTTCAGCTTTGCTCTCGCTCTAGCTGCAGCCCACAGCTGCGTCCAAAACTATTGTTTTCAGTTCGAGAATGACTGTTGCCCATTGCGTCCTTCGTCTTGAAAGGTGCGACTCCGCCGCACCCTTCGCTGAAGGAAACTTCTGCTGACGCGACGGAGTTACTACAACTTTCTGCCGGCGTGTGCCCCTTATGTATATTCAAAGCCGTAAGCGAGTGGCTATCACGAATCAACTCAGGAATGATGACTAATTATGCAAGATGTTGATGAGAGAACTAAAGCGACGGCTCTAGATCTAAAATGCGAGCGCCTGCACATGATTTTACGACCAAGATAAGGGCACCGACGAATCAGTTGCCTCATGTCCACCGTTCACTTCTCAAGAATTAAGTTCCAATCTCCAAAGCCTGTAGGGTTAAGCGAACGTTAACTGACCCAAGAGAGCGCAATAGTGAGAAGAAGAGTTGACGCGCACGCCGGGGGGGCGGCCGCGCGTGTGTGCCGATGCGCGCTGCGGCACGGAAGTGACCCATGCGCATGGCAGGTCGCGGCGCTTTACGCGGGCAATATTCTTGTCGACTCCGACTCGGATCCTCGTCGAAAAGTGGGCACTGTCCGTAACGTAACGAGGATGGAATCTGGAACAAGCGGCTTGGACGCTGGTCCATTTCAAAGCGTAACGAAGACAACAAGCTTGTAAAGATGCATTTACAGCTGCTCCGTGTGAAGCGCGTCGGAGCACGCAGCCGGGCACGCGCAAGACGCGAATCTGACGTCAAGCGCGGCCCTTCCTGACGCACGCACGCGTGCACGCGCGGAGCCGCGCGCCCGGCTTCGCCGCTCCGTCCGCTCTCTTTCCGTTTCCGTTTTCGGGCCCCGCCGCTGAGAAACGTGTGCGTGCCTGCCCCACGATGCGCAGGCAGGGCAGGATGACGTTTTCTGGGTGGGCTGTCCGTGCCCACCTCGACACCCCTGAAGAGGATCTCGCGGCCGCGGCTGCGCTCTGCGTCCAAGCGCGCGCGTAGACAGGCGAGGAGCAGATCACAAATCTACAACACAGGACGGCGGCCCGAACTCTAAGACGACTCGATCGATTGCCAGACTTCGGCTGAGAGAGCAACTCGGCGCAACTCGATCTAGATGCGCTGTGGCAAGGTAGCAACAGCGACAGGGGGACACTTTGAAGCACGTTGGAAAGGAACCGTTGGTGGACATAATCACTTCCTCTTCAAAAATCATCTTTCAGTCGTTTTGGAAAATTCCTCATGAATGACGGGCCTCATAAATCGTGAGAAAAGCACTTCCGTGAGGCAACGATGCCACTCGTGGGCGGCGTTGGGCGGCGCTTGTTCCCATACGCATTCCGGTCGATACATGTTCAACTGAGCCTCTGATCTTTCATAACAAGCTGAACAACGTTATAAATTAGAAAAAATGCTGGCAGATAGATGGCAGCAAACTCCGGCATGCACATGCACCGGCAGTATTGGTTTCTTCATTCAGGGGAGTAAGAGGGGGTGATAGCTAGAGGAGGTGCTAAGCCTCCGCTTGCGGATGGTCGTTTGTCTGAGAATAAGCTGCCTCCACGTCTCCGACTCTTTCTTTCGATGCATTTCGGAAGTCCAAACCGCGACGGTTGGGAAAGCTGACAATTAGCGGATTGCGCTGTCTGAAAAGACTTGCGTGGGCAGAATGGCAAGGAAAGAAGGCTCTGTGCGCCAGTCATCTACAGCACATGAGCAGCCTTGTATTTTCATATTGTTGAGCCTTTTCTGCTATTCGAGAAGGTATGTATGCTTTCCGAGTTTCGACGGCGGAATGATCCAACGGTACGCGGCGGCACGACCCAATTACCGGCTCAGAAAGGCGGTTCACAGTTTGCTTCTCAGTTTGAGAAGGCTGGCGCATGCATGAGGACTTCGACGGCAGTTATTTCCAACCCGTTTCTAAAGGTTGGGTTTTAGATTGTATTGGTCAGATACTCAATTTTTGTCCCAAAATAAGTGTGGAACCCGGCTGATGAATGCTGGGACGCATCGCCGCTGCAAGGGAAGGGCTTTTTCTGCTTCATCTTGCCCTCACTTTGTACCACTGATGTTAGAAGAGTCTACAATAGGCAAGGATTCTTGATGCCATTGCTGGCAAAGCGCCCAGCAAGATACTACTTGTAGCGATCAATCTTCAAGCCAAAAAGATTCTGATGTCGTTAACGTGCAGATTGCGGCACGTCAAAAGAGATTGATTCACGGCGCGGCTTTAGCACTTGTTTCAGGTCAGGAAAAGCAAACTTCACTGCTTGGTTACGCCCACATATCTCTTTCGTAACAGGCACCAGACCAGCCTGAATTGCTGAATCCATGTCTATATATGGAAAAAGCTGTGCATGCGAGGTCTCACCCACGTCTCACCCGTTGTATCAAAGGCCCCTCAAAGCGGCGGTTCATTCGGCCAATTTTTTCTTCTTTGTGTATATACACACTCAGCGACCATTGGCGTTCCGAGTCCGTCCCGGATGCTGTCTGGCGCCCGTCTGGCGGTATCGCGAAACCTGTCGCTGCTACTAAGGGTGCGCGTCGACCGAAAAGCTGCGAAAAGCCTTCCAGATTTCTTAGCCAATAGGATGGCTTGTTGGGTCCACGTGGTCACCAAAGGTACATACCAGAAAAGCATAATGGCTTAAAAAGTCCGTACCTCTTACCTGCCGGTACTGCAAAGGCAACACTGAGGCCAAGTAGATTTTCGGTCGACGCGCAACCTAACTTTTGTCCAAGAATATCCAGGTGCACCTTCATAGATTGAGAAAAGTAAATTGATCATATATTTCAAGAATTGTTTCTGTTCGTCCGGGCGCTTCTGCTGATGCATTGGGCAGCTCAAAAACGCGCGGTCTCAACGGTCAACGCCGGTCAAGCGTTTTGGGCTCG